AATGTCATTGGAGTGATGTATAAACCCCCACAAACTGCAGGAGGCCAAGAGAGGAGTACGAAAAAAAACAAAGGGGGGATGGGGGACACACTGGCTGAGGTGGCAAAAAAGAGCTATCGAGCAGAGCAAAGTTTTTGGGAAGGGCGATTTCAACCAAGGGAGATGATGGGAAATGGAGCACATGGGGGTCCCGAAACATGGGGAGCCAAGATGATGGATGTGGTACTTGGGGAAAACCCCATGCTCAAAATTCAGGGACACAAAACCCGAGAGAGAGGGGAGGATGAGCCGCCCGACTGGATCTTGTGTTCACCCTGAGCAGTTTCAGAAATTGGGACATATATGAGAGGCCCCCGGAGCTAGCGATCAGTGGTTTTTGAGTTTTTTTACTATTAGTAGAGTTAATGGAGAAGGGAACAGGAACTGAAGGGGACAGGCCAAAAATTAAAAGGGGGGACTACACAGGATGAGAAACTTTCCTGCAGGAGGTTCGTGGGACAGAGAAATGGTAGGAAAAACAGTAAAGAGATGATGGAATAGTGGCAAAAAAAGGGCAAAGGAGGGAGGGAAAGTTTTGTTCCAAGGGGAAACGGAAATAATAGGGGACCAAAACGGTCCGGTTTACCGAAGGGGTAGGGAGGCAAAAAACTAAAATGCAAAAGGAATGGAAAAGGTTTCAGGAGGCATGGACCCGGAAAACAAGGAGATTAGAGAAAAAGGGCCAGAAACGAGTTTGCCAGATAAGGGGGAGGCCCCCGCGACAGTATGAAAACACATGCATCGAAGTCAAATTGGGGCCCCCAAATGTGTATAGCCCTTAGGAGGAAGACAAAAAGTCAAGGACCAGGTGATAAGGCTGAGGAAAGGGGTGGAGAGAACTCACAAAAACCGATCAAAAGGTATGTGGGAGCTAAACAAGAGATTAAGGAAATTTTTACGTTGAGAAGGAAGGACCCTGGGGGGACAGACCCGAGGGGACACCGCAAAGAAATTTCACCAACAAGTGTTGGACGACTACATACAGATGGGGGAGGTGAAGAAACTGCTAAGGGACATCGATATTCAAAGCAATGGACCAGCAAAAATTCCCCCTGGGTCCCTTTGAGAGGGAGCAGTATGTTGTGGTGCCCCCTTACCACAATCTTCAACACATCCTGGAAAAATGGGCAACTACCCGAGGTATGGGGAAAACGGAAAAAGTAGTTCCCATTTTTAAAAAAGGAGACGAAAAGAGGACTAAACTTTTAGACCTGTGTCAGACGTGTTAGTATGCAAAATTATGGAGAAGTTACCCCCCAGGAGGCCCCCGGGGGGCCCGGGGGCGGAACGGATTAAATGCCCAAACCCGCACGGATTCACGGAAGGAAATCCTGTGTCACAAAAACCCTTTTGGATTTTTTTGATAAAATAACGAAGTAAGACAAGAGAGAAGGGGTGGGTTGATTGCCTTCTTGGGCTGCAAGAAGGCCTTTGACACGTTCCTCACAAGAGATTAGTGCAAAGTAGAGCCAGGCGCAAAAAGGAAGGGCACGAATGGTCAGGAATACCGAAGGGATGCAACAACGAGTCATGGTCGTAATGTGTTTACAGTGGGCACCTGTGAGAGGGGGGTCCCACGGGGTCGGTCCTAGGACCCCGTGCTATTTTTTGGGATATGTGAACGACATGGCGGAAAAGGGGTTAGATCAGAAGTGTCCCTGTTTTCAGATGATTGAAGTTAAGAGGGAATTAAATTGATGGGACCAGGCAGGACTTTAAAGAGATGGACGACTGGAACCTGGCCCCCAAAAGGTTCCGAATTTTTAAACTGCCAAAGCAAAGTCATGAAGATGGGGGAGGGGCACAGAAGACCACAGAGAGTATAGGTAGGTGGCCAAAGACTGCAAACCCCCACTCAAGGAGAAAAATTTGGGGGGGGGTAAAACCCGGGATGTCTCCGGGAAACACACTCAATCAGATAACTGCTGCGCATTGGGCGCTGGCAAACCCCGAGAAAGATTCCCATACCTTGTAAGGGAAACATTCAAGCACTGTACACGGTATTGGGCCCCTACTGGAGTATGCAGCCCTGTTTGGAACCCGCACTTGATAAAGCACGTCAAGAAACTAGAGAAAGTACAAAGGTTTGCGCAAAGGGTTTGTTCCGGAGCTAAGGGAATGTCCATGAGGAAAGATTAAGGGGAAAACGGCCGACCACATGGAGGAGGGGGTCAGGGGAGACATGATAACGACATTAAAATACTGCGTGGAATAGACAGGGGAAAAAGGGCAGGAGTTCCCCGGGGGGGACACAGAAAACCCAGGGCCCCAATTGGAAGTTTAAGACAAGTGGTCAGGAGATGTAGGAAATTTTTTTCGTCATAGAGTTGTAAGGCATGGGTAGCCTAGAAAATGACGTAGTGGGGGGCAGGAAAACCCTAACGTTTTAAGACGAGGTTTGATAAAGCTCATGGAGCGGGGGGAAGGAGGGCCCGTGCAACCCGTGAAAAGGCGGGGGCCCGGAGCTAGGACCCCCCCCCTGCAACACAAATAGGTTTAGAAATAGGTGGTCACCACACACACACCACACACCACCAAGATGTGAAACGACCCCCGCAACAACAACTGGTGGTACAATTAAGTGAGTACGCACACACCAAAAGGTTTTGGGAAGGAAGGAGAGATACAGAGAACCCCAGGAAGCCGTGAAGAATCAGCTAAGGTTCAAGAAGGTATTCAGAGTTTTAGCAGGAGGCTCCCAGAAATAGAAAAATCCTCTCCCGGGTCCGGAGAGGAAACAGTCATTGCACTCCCTAATTTTTGGGTTTCAGGGGTTTGTATGTTCCCGGCCCGCCCCTTCCCTGGCACTAGGTCACCCCCCTCCTGCCCGTGGCTTCATATACTTTTCAAATCTTTGTTGGATCTTGCTTTCACCACCCCCCTCTTTAGTATTTCACTTCCCGACAACTTGTGTCTGAAGAAATCTTCCTAACATCTCTGTGACTCTCTTTGTCTTAACTTCCAATGGGCCCCCCTTTTTGCTGTGTCCATCTCGGAAATCTTGCTTTCCCCCTTATCGATTCCCCTCGTATTTTTATTTTGTTATCATGTCCCCATGTCCCTCCTGTCCCCCAGTGTTTTTCGGTCGATTTCCCTTAAGGGTAGGGGAGGTTAGGAAATCCACTCCCCTGTCACCCCTACATTACTAAAAAAAGTCTCCTCTGTTAGGGCAAGCACTGGACAGGTCCTGTGATAAATCACAGTAGTCTTGCCGGAAAAACCCCGGGTCCCGGGGTAGGACGTCTAAGGCCTGGGTGTCCCCATGAAACGGATTTAGTTCCCTCTTTAAAATTGTTGGAAAATTAAGGGGTAAAATTGATTATAGTTTGTCCTGCTCCCAAAACTCAATAGAAAAAAGAAGCAGGAGGTAAGATGTCACAGTCGAAACTGTCAAACTGAAGAGGGGACACCCCCTCCCCTACCGATGCCCACTACCCCCGGTCAAGCAGATCGGTAAAAATTACGTTACCCCAAAAGCTTAGGTACCGAAGTGATTGTGTTGTATGATCAGGAAACACAAAGGTTCTTTGTCTGCCAAAGTACACTACGTAAACTCGGTGTGACACCACACGATAACATATTCTTGGACCTAACTGCATTTTTCCAAGGCCCTGGATAACGATCATATGAAAATTAGGCATACATGTATGTGCAACATCTGGGTATCTTCAATGTAGACGTTTCGCCATCCAGTGGCTTTATCAATACAAATTTTAGGAGGTAGTCAGTCCCTCAACCTTGGAGTTGGTGTGAAGAGCACCGTAGTTGACACTACACAAACTACAGTAGTCTTACTTGAAGTCTACTTAAAGTCTTAAAGTCGGTGCCGGATCAGCCAGGCTGTAGTTCGTACGCTGGATTACGTTCGGCCAGCAGTAACAGCCTGGTTGATCAGGCCCTGATCCACCGCGAGACCTGGTCGTGGACCGGGCCGCGGGGGCGTTGATTCTCGGAATACCCTCCAGGTAGACTCCAGGTAGGTAGGCAGGGACTGCATAACTCAGAGCATCCAGAATGTCTAAACAAAACTGATGTGCAGTGTGTCATGTTGGCACTATCACAGACGTCCTGGACATAACCCTGACCCACTGACTGATGTGCAATGTCATGTTGGCACTATCACAAACGTCGTGGACATAACCCTGACCCACTACCATGATGCTGGACACATGTCGGCTCCTGTCAAGCACCTCAGGTTAAGGTAAAACATTGCGGTGTGACCATGGCTACTGACATGTTTCCAAGTGACTCAGGGTCACCTCATATTATAGTGCAGTATTGTGCAAATAATTTAATATTTATAATTGTGTAAAGAAATTTAAGTGTTGTTAGTTATGTGTACAAAGTTATGCCTTTCCTGCTAAACACTTCAATCTTTGGAATATTATTTTCCTCAATGATTTGTTATGGTTTTTCTGACGGCGCTCTATGACTATTCTTGGTTTAGCTCTACTTTATATTATAACAATAATGTGTTTTTCTAAGAGTGGGAGATATGTTCTTGTTGTACAACATTCTTTGATTTTATGTAATCATTTTCCACTGTTCATCTCGTGTGTGTGTGTGTGTGTGTGTGTGTGTGTGTGTGTGTGTATGTGTGTGTGTGTGTGTTTGTGTGTGTGTGTGTGTGTACTCCCTATACTCACCTATTTGTGGTTGCAGGGGTCGAGTCATAGCTCCTGGCCCGCCTTTTCACTGATTGCTACTAGGTCCTCTCTCTCCCTGCTCCATGAGCTTTATCATACCTCGCTTAAAACTATGTATGGTTCCCGCCTCCACTACTTCACTTCTAGGCTATTCCAAGGCTTGACTACTCTATGACTGAAGAAATACTTCCTAACATGTGTGTGTGTGTGTGTGAGAGAGAGAGAGAGAGAGAGAGAGAGAGAGAGAGAGAGAGCTAAGAGAGAGAGAGAGAGAGAGAGAGAGAGAGAGTATTCTACATCTTACTGGATGCTTACTGGTAATTCCCATCTCCAAAAACATCGAAATCGAGTGCATGACCATCCATGAAGTAATATCCATGCAGTAAAGGTTGTCCAGGAGCAGGCCGATATCCACGCTCATCCCCAGCATATTTACCAACACCTGCCGAAAAGACAAATTCTGGAGAAACACTTTCCCTTGGTGTAAGTGCTGTTCAAATATAAGTCTCACTAATAATGGAAACGCTAAAGAAACATTTTTTCCAGTTTTATTATAAATTTTTGATTCAAAAAAAGCTCAAATATGTGCCCAAAGAAGTATTAATTTATTTAATCTCTCGGAAATTTGTGAGGCAGGTGAGCACCATCATACAGTGATCCCTTCATCTTAGGACCTGACAGCATCATGATTATACGTATATTCAGATTGGCGCTGTTTACTCTTTTATGGTTTTTAATTGGCATTTTTTGTCTTCACTTTGTTACGTTATTTATTTAAGTCATTTAATACTCTGTAAAGGACAGCAGTCTGAACCCTATATGAGTAGGTGAGATACGCCAATACCTTGACTAATAAAGGTGAGATAAGCCAATACCTTGACTAATAAAGGTGAGATACGCCAATACCTTGACTAATAAAGGTGAGATAAGCCAATACCTTGACTAATTAAGGTGAGATACGCCAATACCTTGACTAATAAAGGTTTAGATACGCCAATACCTTGACTAATAAAGGTGAGATAAGCCAATACCTTGACTAATTAAGGTGAGATACGCCAATACCTTGACTAATAAAGGTGAGATACGCCAATACCTTGACTAATAAAGGTGAGATACGCCAATACCTTGACTAATAAAGGTGAGATACGCCAATACCTTGGCTAATAAAGGTGAGATGCGCCAATACTTTGAATAATAAAGGTGAGATACGCCAATACCTTGACTTAATAAAGTTAGTAACATGACCGTAGGAGTTTACTGCATGCTAATCAATGATAAATAGGACACATGACTAACGAAATCGTAATAACACTATTGTAACAGAGATCGCCATGGATGGGACTCGATCGAGACCTTAAAATTCGCAGGCAAATTGTTAACGTTTGTCCATGTCGACCTAACATGTATTTCGTCAAAACTAGTTTATTTCTTTACACCACAGAAACTGTTAACATGGAACAAACTGTGACACAAACGTAGTGTTTATTTATGGAGCACAAATCTCACATCCGCATGGCTGTGGCGCTCTCTCTCAAGTGCCCTCGGACCCACTGTCATGACTACAATAACTCATAACGTGACTTCAAGCAATTCACATAATGGTGGGCTTAGAGTAGAGCACGGCCTCAGCCATACTGGTGTGAGAACTCATGCATGGATTCCATGTGTATAGAAATATTCCTAGTTGCATGATTCTTCTTAGAGGCTTGGTATTGGTTAACACACTGGCCTGAGAAGTTATAGGGACTCGCCTCGCCACTAGTTCGACCTCCAACTGTTACTTCATTTTATTTCCGAATACATTTCGCCCACCACTGGACACTCTACAGAAGTGACCCAATAAATAAAAAGTAGCTAGGAGCTGTGGCTGAAGTAGATACACCAATTAGTTGACAGCTTAATCTTAGCGGAAAGAAACTTATAATTACGTTTTGATCAAAAATGATACATCATTGTCTACTCGACAGTTTGACTGAAACGTCGTCACAGTTTGTCTCTCAATAAATAAGGGCTATTTGGGTGACTAAATTAGAAGCACAGGACACTTCTCCTTTTACATAACTGAAGAAGCTTAAGTGAAAGCGAATCCTTTAGTAAATAAAAGGACTCCAAGTGTTGAGCATGAGACTTATTCATAAAACTCTGTCGGTATTATAATTGACGCTGCTGATCATACCTAAGATCTGCTATTATTCCATTATGAAGGGTCTTTCTTTATAAACAATGGGCTGTATATGAACAAAAAATTAAATTACTTTTTCCATGCATCATACATCAAAATGTTAGGGACACTTCCAGATTGAAAGATGATGAACCAGCAAGGCTGGGACCTCATATTCACATTGGCGAGCGTTCAAGACTTGGGACCAATCACACATAAAACCTCGGAGACACCCCCCCCCCCCCAAAACACCCTTGATAACGTGATCCTGAGCTTCCGAATACATTGTAGAGTTAAAAATGAAGAGGAAGACAACACAAAGTAAGGAGGGTGAAGGATACTATAAAAGAGGTTTGGAAGGACAGTAGTCTTTAAGAAAGGAGACATGCAGGTAAGATTAAACTTACAGAATGTATAGTTTGCCAAAGTCTTGGAGAAGCTAATCAGGAAAAGACTAGTGGAACCTGAAAGAAACGAGTTTATACACTGTAAATAGCACGGTTTCAGAGAGAACTTTTGTATCCCAAAAATAACCTTTTTTAATGGAAGTTTTATTGACAAAGATGACCAAAAGTAGGGAGGTGATTTGTGGCACTAAGCTAAGAGGAGTAGGCAGAAATTAACGGATAGGCTTGCAATGGAACAGAGAATACCTGACAGGAAGGAAAAGGCGATGAAGGTACATGACTAGGTATCAGAGTGGACGCCTGTTACGATCAAGAAATCACAGGGGACAGTCCTAGGGCTGGTGCTGTTTCTGGTAATGTGAATGACTTAACATAAGGGATAGATTCTGAGGAGTCCGTTTTTGCACACGATGCGAAGATGATGTGGTAGATTCAAGTGGATATTATCTAGCAGGAACTAAAATGGATCTAGACATGGCAGTAAGGCCTGGACTAACACTGGCTGCTAAGACTTCCTCAATAATGGCTGTCTTTCCAGTCATAAAGATTGGGAAGGTCAAAGAAGACCGCCAGACTGAATACAGGCCAGGGGCAACAAAGACTACAAACTCACTCAAGAGAAAGGAATCTTGGTGAGTATAATACCGAGCATATCTACTGAGGCGGACATCAACCAAATAACTGCTGCATGGGCACCTGGTAAACTAAGAATAGCTTCTGGGCATCTTAGTAAGGAATCCATTCAAAATCTCTGTACACAGTGTACATCAGGCAATACTGTGTATGCAGCAAACAGTATGTAACACACACTGAACAAGCGCATCAATAAATCAGGGAATGTGCATACGTTTGAACAAGACTAGTTCCTTAGCTTCTTAGAGGACAAGTTAAGGAAAATCAACCCGACGAACTGGAGGACAGGAGGGACAGTGGGAACATGGTAACACATATAAGACATATAAAAATACTGAGTGGAATTATCAAGGTTGAAGAGACATGGATGTTTCAGAGATGAGAGACGGTAACAAGAGGTCACAATGGAGGTTGTAGACTCAGATGAGTCACAGGGATGTTAGGAGTATTTTTTCAATCTCAGAGTTGTCAGATATTGAAATAATTCGGGAGAGTAATGTAGAGGAGGCAGCAACCTTAATAGCTTTAAAGATGAGATACAATAAAGTCATGGAGGAGTTAGAGAGTGAACCTAGCAGGGGACCATAGAAGAGGAGGGGCAGGAGCTATTGAATCGACCCTGCAACCACAAAGAAGGTAATTTATATTTAGTCACGTTTATTATACACCATATTCATATGCAAAAGAATATATCAGCAACAGAAATACATTGTAAGTAGCAGGTTGTAGACAGCAGCCACCCAGGGAGGTACTACATCCTGCTACGTGAGTGTGAAACAGAAGACTGTAACTGTTTTACATTGTTGGTAGGATTGCTGCTGTCCCTCTTTTGTCTCATGAACAGGAATTTCTTGCTACTTCCATTTTCATTTAGGTCACTCTACAAGGAATGGCATATATATATATATATCATATATTTTATTATATATATATATATATATATATATATATATATATATATCTATATATATATATATATATATATATATAAATGTACATATATATATATATTTATATATATATTATATATATATATATATATATTTTTATATATATATATATATATATATAAATGTACATATATATATATTATTTATATATAATTATATATATTATATATTTATATATATATATATATATATTATATATATATAATTTATATATATATATATATTATATAATATATATATATTTTATATATATATATATATATATATACATAAATATACATCTAGGTTTTTCTTCTTTTTCTTAATAGTTCTTGTTCTTCTTTATTTTACTCTATCCCCTATTCTCTCTGTAAGCTTGCGTGGTCGTATGAGGCGACTAAATAACGGGAACTATGGGCTAGTAAATCCCTTCTCCTGTAGAAAATAATAAAAAGAGAAGATTAACTTTACAAAACTGGGGATGCCTGATATGCGTGAATGTAGTGTGGGGTGATGTTATAATGGAAAAGAAGTTGGGATTGTCCTGGTCTAAGGCGAAACAAAAAATAAGGGGGTAGGTGAGTTTCAGTTGGGAGAAATAAATTGGGATAAGTAAGGAGTATTCTGAGAGAGTTAGAACTAAGTAGGTGTAGCAATAATGTTGAAGGAATCAGTTATGGAATGTAAAGAGGGAATATTACTATGTTTAAATTCCAAGGATTATGTGGTTAAAATAAGGAGTCGGATGCAGAAAGTGGGGTCGTAATAAGTGCATGTGCACTGATGAAGAGAGGAGTGTAGAGGTGAGGTATATTATACCACCTGTATATTATACCACCTGGTATATTATACACCTGGTATTATTATTACACCCTGGTTATTTATTCACCTGGTATTTTATTCACCATGGTATATTATTACACTGTATTATTTATACACCCTGGTATATTATTGCACCCTGTATATTATACACCCTTGTATATTATTACACCCTGGTATATTGTACACCCTGGTTATATTCTACCCCTGGTATATTATACACCCTGGTTTATTTTACACCCTGGTTTATTATACACCCTGGTTAATATTATACCCCCTGGTTTTATTATACACCCTGGTATATTATACACCTGGGTATTATACACCCTGGTATATTATACACCCTGACCGTATATTATACCACCCTGGTATATTATACACCTGGTATATTATAACCCTGGTATATTAACACCTGTTATATTTATACACCATGGTATATTTACACCCTTGTATATTATTACCCCCTGGTATATTATACACCCTGGTATATTATACACCCTGGTATAACGACATACACCCGAAGTATATATATACCTGGTAAATAATTATACACCCTGGTATATTGTAACACCCGGTATATTATATACCCTGGTATATTATACCCCTGGGTATATTATACACCCTGTATTTTATTACACCTGGATTTATTTACACCATGGTATATTATACACCCTGATATATTTTTACACCCTGGTGCTTAATACACCTGGTATGTTATATTTACACCCTGATATATTGTACACCCTGGTATATTATACACCCTGGCATATTATACACCCTGGGTCTATTATACACCTGGTATATTTATACTCCTGGTTATTATACTCCCTGTATATTATACACCATAGTATATTGTACCCCTGGTATATTATCACTGGTTATTATACACCCTGGTATATTATACACCCTGGGTGTATTATACATCCTGGTATATTATACACCCTGGAATAAATATTCACACCTGGTAATATTATACACCCTGGTATTTTTATACACCCTGGTAGATTGTACTCCCTGGTTTATTATTCTCCATGGTATCATTATACACCCTGGTATATTGTACTCCTGGTATATTTTACACCCTGCTATATTATATATCCCTGATATATTATACCCCCTGTGATATTATACACCTGGTATGTTATACTCCCTGGTATATTATACACCTGGTTTATTATACCACCCTGGTATATTATACAACCTGGCATATTATACACATTGGTATTTTTATACACCCTGGTATATATAGCCCTAATATATTATACACTTGGTATATTTTAATCCATGGTATAATTTTATACCTGGTATATTATACACCTGGTATATTGTTACACCTTGGATATTGTGCACACCCTGGGTATAGTATACACCCTGGTATATTTATACAACTGGTATTTCTATACACCCTGGTATTATATACACCTGGTTTATTATACACCCTGGTATATTATACACCCATGGTTCCATTGTACACGATCTTATGTTATACACTCTGCAATTATACACCGTGTATATTATTCACCTTAGTTATTATACAACCGGTATTATTATACAACTGGTATATTATTACATGTGGTATATTATACACCTGGTATATTTTACACTCTGTTACTTATATACACCCTGGTATATTTGACACCCCTGGTTTTTTTTACCTGGGTATTTTTTATACCCTGGTATATTATACTCCCGGTAATTGTACACCTGGTATATTATACGCACTTGTTTATTATACACCTGATATTAACAACCCTGGTATATTATACACCCTGCTCTATTGTTACCCTGGTATATATTCATCATGGTTTATTTAACCCTGGTATTTTATACTCCTGGTATATTATACACCTGGGTATGTTTACTCCCTGGTATATTATACACCTGGTGTATTTATGTCACCCTGGTATATTATGCACCCTGGTATATTATACCTCGTGTATTATACAACTTGGTATATTATAAACCCTGGTATTTTTATACACCTGGTATAATTTACAACCTGGTATATTATACACCTGGAATATTATACACCCTGATTTTATTATACACCTGGTCTATTGTACACCTGGTATATTATACACCCTGGTTAATTAATACCTTGGTTTTATTATACACATGATATATTATACACTCTGGTAATTATTCATCTTGTATATTATACTCTGGTTTAGTATACACTGATATTTTAAACACCCTGGTATGTATACACCCTTGTATGGTTATTACTCATTCGGATTATTCACCCTGGTATATTGTACACCCTGGTATATTATACACCTTGATATATTTTACACCCTGGTATTTTATACACCCTGGTAAATTATGCACCTTGATATATTATACACCCTAGTATATTATAACCTGATATATTATTCACCCTGGTATATTTAACCCTTTTACTTTATACCACTTTTATATTAGACACCATGGTATATTATACACCCTGGATAAATTATACGCCCTGGTATATTATACCCCTGGTATATTATGCACATTGGTATTATGCACCCTGGGGTATTACACCTCCCGGTATTATTATATCCATGGGTACTTATATACCATGGTATATTATACACCCGGTATATTATCACCATGGTATATTATACACCATGGTGTATTATACCCCTGTGTATATTATTCATATTGGTATTATTATACACCATGTTATATTATTCTTAATAGCAAAAAGGCACAATTCCGTGACTGGGAACGTACACAAGTAACCCGCACACAAGAAGAGAGGAGCTTACCACGTCGTTTCGGTCCGACTTGGGCAAGTCGGACCGAAAGTCTTATTTCTGAAGTCTTGTTTTTATAATCTCTTATTCAAAATTATTATAGGTCATTCTAAATTGTCAACATCTGCCTATGGTAGAAAGTTTTCTATGAGTTATGGAATGGAAATAAGTCACTCTGTTCTTGACTTTTTTGGTTTATCCAGGTTTCTCTACACATATGCTGCTCTGTATGGATAATTCTATGTAAACTGTATTGTGTATACCTGAATAAAATTACTTACTTACTTACTTACTTACTTACTTGTTTACTTATTAACATAACAGATATGGTATATTTTCTGACGTTGTCGTAATATATTTGTGTTGAGGTTCCTTTGCTCTAACTAGCTGAGTCACTCTCAATTCTACATGTTACCTTTGCTGTCTGGAATGTGCCAAGTTCAACGAGTTCGGTCACTCAAGTTACCCAACACACTGCAAAGACAATAACAACTTTATCCTAACTCTAAATACAAACAAAAAGTGTAACGTAATAAATATACTTCACATTAGTTAATCTTGATAACGTGTATAAATACACTCACATAAGTAATCTTGATAAGTGATATACACATCCATAAGTTAATCTTGATAACGTGATAAATACACTTCACATAAGTTAATCTTAATAACGTGATAAATACACATCACATAAGTTAATACTTGATAACGTGATATATACCATTCCACAGAAGTTAATCTTAATAACGTGATAAATATCTCATCACATAAGTTAATCTTATTAACGTGATAAAGACTCATCACATAAGTTAATCTTAATAACGTGATAAATACACATCACATAAGTTAAATCTTAATACGTGATAATACAATCACATAAGTTAATCTGATAACGTGATAAATACACATCACATAAGTTAATCTTGATAACGTGATAAATACAATCACATAAGTTAATCCTGGACAAAGAGATAAATATTGGCTACGTGTACGATGTTAGTACATAATCGGAAAGATGACCAAATATTTGTTGGTCTATGCTGCGTACTGATGAGAGGGAACATGACTGTTATTATGGAACATGTTGAGGAATGAACTAGACTCATGTTTGTGAACATTTACAAATGACTGCATAACTGTGCTGTGTAATGAGGAATGAACAACATTCCTGACTATAAGAATGTGATGGAGAATGGACAACATATCTGATGTTAAGTACATGATGCGGGATGAACAGCATTCAAGGTGTTAATCAAGGACGTAAAGAAAAATTACCAACGTACCTGATGTTAAAGTACATGTGAAGAATTAATAATTTAGTTTCCTGGTGTTAAGAGGTTAGTGGCAGAGTTTTTTTTTTTGGGTTATCGTTCAGTTCTTTATCTTATTTTTTAAAGAGAATACATAGTGTGCTGGATATAGTCCTGAGCCAAGACAATAAAATGGGTATTATTATTAATGCGCTCAAAAAACGACATAATTTTTTAGCTGTTTTTATCTGAACTATTTAAATAATATGTGATGGTAATGCTTAGTTAAGAGTTTAATGGAATTTTCGGTTATAGATTTTACTTAAGCTCAGGAACTTATAATTGGTCAGTTTAATTACCTCAAACTTAAAATTGGTTTATCTTGACATACTATTACTTACCAATTTTTTAGGTAAAAAGGACACAAGTGCAATAACTAATGTGACCATTTTATTGTGGAACGTTTGGCTCTCCAAGAGCTTTGTTAAGCCGTTACAAACATACTGGACAAGAGGGTATATAAAGTATTAGCAAAAATCCTCCTTAAAAACAAATAAATCCTGTTAATTACACATAGTCTCTGTTGTTAATTTACTCAAGAACATAACAGAGGAGCGAACACTGAATCAGATATTCTCAGATCCAACCACAACAGAAATATTAATAAACAATTTTTTTGTTCCCAAGTCAATAGTTTTTCTAACCTTTTACTCATGTGCAAGTTGGGCACTGTTCTACCATATTTTTTACTACTAATATTAACTATAATAATATTAATACTACTACTACCATAGTATTACACCTCACTCTTTGCCTTATTATATACCCTCCTGTGTCCATGTATTGTGTGTAATGGCTTGATAAGGCTCCTGGAGAGCGAAACATGCCACAATAAAATGGCACATAGTTGACACCTAACATTTTAATAAATTACCAAATTATTAATTCCAATTCACTACCAATTAAATATGAGTAACGGTGGTAATTATTTTAATTTCATATAAGATTAGTTTTGCAGATTTAAAGGCGATTGAGTCATCATTGGGCTACTTGAGGTGTAATGTTTTACTTTGATGTTATTTTTATCTGACCTATTTATGCAGGATAACTGCTCTTGAGGTTGTTAGGTAAGACAACATATGCATCAGTTAGTATCTTTATTTCGAAACGTTGCTAAACAGGGAGGCTTTCTTCAGTCGAGTACACATAAAGTTGATAGAAGCAGTAGGATACGTGAGACGATGGAATGATTTACATCGTCATCAAGTATCTTCTGCTTTCTATCAACTTTTCTGCTACTCGACTGAAGGAATCCTACTGTGTAGGCGTAACGTTTCGAAATAAGATACCTAACGGGTTGCATATGGTATACCTAACAATTGTCGGTATTTTATACCATTTTAATGTTCGGCTTGAGGTTGATACGAGTTCTAAAATGTACCAGCAGTTTAATCTGCAAACTCGAGTAAAATTGATGAAATATTAGACTAGGCAGATCTTAGGTGAGTACATGTCATTTATTGGAATTAAGAGTTCCCTTATCGTTGAGTTATATATTTCATATCTTTGATAGTGGTCTTTACATACTTGAGAATTTTCGAGGCTCCGTCTGAAGATGGTAGCCTGCCATGCATCAGGGTGGCTAATGCATGGGGAACCATAGCCTCCTCTTCCACCACAAAGTATTTTAATTCTAGCTCAAGCTCAAGTTATGGTGGCTTATTGTAAACATATATTCTTATATATGGTGCTTATGCAAACATATATCCTATATATGGTGCTTTATTGCAACATATATCTCTATATATGGTGCTTATTGAACATATATCCTATATATCAGCAAATTTGTATCAGATTCTTATGGCGGAAATGAGAGTTTGATTGATTTCCAGCTTCAGTGTGGAAGATGATTATTGGTCTTCACGGAGATGAATATTAAAGTTTTAATCAAATACTTTCCTTCCCTTAGGATTTTTTTTAATGTAACGTGATAATGGTTGTTCTTGCTCTGTGTACTATCATCAGATTCATCAATCTATAATATGTGCCCAGGTCTCATTTTATCGACATTATGCCTTTTGAACTTTGTTATGACTTAGTGAATGGGCCTTGGGACTTCCAGCAGGCTGCGTGAGCGTGTTTGGATAGGAGTGAATGGAGACTAAATGGTTTTTAATACTTGACGTGTGTTGGAGTGGAGCCAAAGTAACATTTATGAAGGGATTCAGGGAAACCGGCAGGCGGACTTGAGTCCTGGAGAGGGAAGTACAGTGCCTTGCCACTCTGAGGAGGGGTGTGTTAATGTTGCAGTTATAAAAACTGTAGTGTAAAAGCACCCTTCTGGCAAGACAGTGAGTGGAGTGAATGATGGTGAATGTTTTTCTTTTTCGGGCACCTGCCTTGGGTTGAGAATTGGCCAGTGTGATAATAAAAAAATATAATAACATAATCTTGGTATACATCACATACCACAACACTTGTGTCTTGTTGACCAGCATAAAGCTCTGTACAAAATTAATAGAAGGTTAATTTTTTTTTTTTTTTTATTCGCCGGTGTTCTCCCGGCCCGGGTTCTTTTCCAGTAGTGGTGACCCGGACCTTGGCTCCCTATTGGGGAGTGTCTCGAGGACTTAAGTCTCCCATGGGAGGAGTGTATAGTACCTCCTCATCCTTTGGGACCAAGTGTCCCCAGGCCTAGCCACCATTCCCGCCCTCACGGGGCTCGTAGAGAGAAGCTAGGCCTCTGGTCTGCCATCTACCCCGCCTCAAAGGGGTCGTGGGGATGGCCAGTTCTTATGAACTGCAGAATGGTAGCAAGCTCAGGTCTCTCTTGACCTTTGTAATTAAATGTTCATTGTTGCACGAGTTTTAAATAACTTCTTCTGTTATTATTTTAGGCAGAAGAAAGAAGAGTTTCAACAGGTAAAATACTACTTTTTTCTTTGTATTAAATGGCCATGATATATTATTTCTATATTTTTAACATCTGCATTCCCTGGCGCGTAAGATAAACATTAAATGCGTTCCTCACTTTTAACTTTCTATTATCAATGTTATAAACGATGTTTCCATACATTCTTACATCATCTTTGTTTGACCTTTAACTATAGTTTGTTTTATTACGATTTTCACCAATATTATGTGACAAAGAATGTACCTAATTTCTCCACTGTCTTTAAGTGTGATTATTGCTCAGTTTTGAAAATTGTTCATTATGTATATAGGTATTCAATTTGCATTATTATTAGGTTTAAATAATTAATTATTGGAGTGAAATCTTTTATATTAACTGCTTAGGAAAAGACTGGAAAAACTTCCTTTCCAGTTTGTTAAAGACTCCTCGTGTTGTCAGAGTTTTACTTAATCTTCTGGATCTTTACTGCAACTGTCACCTTGCTGCTCAACATACTTTACATATCACATATTTTACAAGGAATCTTATAGAAACACCTTGAGCATTTTGGGGGAATTTTTAATCAAATTTTTTTTTACTGTATCAGATTTTTAAGCATAACTTTGATATTAAAAGTCTTAAGAAGAGATGGCATATCAACAAAGTTTTTATGGGAAGGGAGAAACTAATATTTTTAGATCAATAAGGTTGGTTGTCCCTTTTTAAATAAATAAAAAAGTCTTCCTGGCAATTTTAAAGGATTTATCAGTAAAGTTTCCTTGGGTATTATAAGATCATTAGCTATTTCATAATTTTTGAGATTTCTTATCTTACGAACTCTGGGGACATACAAATACGTAAAAAACTCTCAAAAACATTGATGAGAAAACAGTTTAACTTTATCTTGATGTGTGAGAAAACAATATGTGTTCATAAGAACAGTTATTTGTTGGTTTTCTGTAAATTTAAAAATTTAAAATCATTGTTACTCATAATAATTAAAACATCTAGGAAAAGGCAAATAAAGTTATTTTATCGAACTCAACTCAATATAAATGATAGAATGGAGCTGAACTATTTAATTTAACAGGAAATGAATTTATCTATATTTTTAGGCATAAGACCACAAAATATCATCAACATATCTATTCCATTAGCTCTATTAGGAAGATTGTGGTAAGGCAACTCTTGTTTCAAAAAATTCCATTTATAAATTACTAAGACAGGTGAGAGGGGATTTCCCTTGCCCTACCAAAACTTCTGAGTGTAAAATCGTCATTAAAA